AGAACCCCTGACCCTGGGGCCATGAAATTCACAACTTTGGAAGAGGCACTCTTGCTCATCATAACTAAGTACTAAATTAGTTCATTTAATAACCAGGAGCAGATAAGAAGATTTTCAAAGAATTAATGCATTTTAACAATATAATCAATAGAGACCCGCCCTAACACCAGAACCCCTGACCCTGGGGCCATGAAATTCACAATTTTGGAAGAGGCACTCTTGCTCATCATAACTATGTACTAAATTAGTTCATTTAATACCCAGGAGCAGATAAGAAGATTTTCAAAGAATTAATGCATTTTAACTAATGTATATAATCAATAAAGCCCTGCCCTAACACCAGAACCCCTGACCCTGGGGCCATGAATTTCACAATTTTGGAAGAGGCACTCTTGCTCATCATAAATATGTACTAAGTTACTTTATTTAATACCCAGGAGCAGAGAAGAAGATTTTCAAAGAATTAATACATTTTCACTATATACTCAATAGAGCCCTGCCCTAACACCAGAACCCCTGACCCAGGGGCCATGAAATTCACAATTTTGAAAGAGGCACTCTTGCTCATCATAACTATATACTTAGTAAATTTATTTAATACCCAGGAGCAGAGAAGAAGATTTTCAAAGAATTAATGCATTTTCTCTATATAATCAATAGAGCCCCGCCCTAACACCAGAACCCCTGATCCTGGGGCCATGAATTTCACAATTTTGAAAGAGGCACTCTTGTTCTTCATAACTATGTACTTAGTTACTTTATTTAATACCCAGGAGCAGAGAAGAAGATTTTCAAAGAAATAATGCACTTTCCCTATATGATCTATATAGCCCCACCCTAGCACCAGAACCCCTGACCCTGGGGCCATGAATTTCACAATTTTGGTAGAGGACTCAATGCTTATTACAATGATGCCAACAGTTTGACTGCTTGATGTCCAGGAGTAAAGAAGAAGATTTTTAAAGATTGCATTATTTTTGGTGGTTTTAGCCCCACCCCTCAGGCCCCAGGGGGGCAGGGACCATGGAATTCACAATTTTTGTTCCCCTTCACCCATAGGTGCTATATGCCAAATTTGGTTGAAATTGGTTAAGCGGTTTCAGAGAAGAAGCTAAAAATGTTCAAATGTTAACACACGACGCACACCGCACGACGCACGACGCACGCCAACGGACGAGAACGGATAGCAATAGGTCACCTGAGTGACTCAGGTGACCTAAAAATGCATTTTTACCACAGATTCACTATATTATCAATAGAGCCCCCCCCCCCCAACACCAGAGCTTCTGACCCTGGGACCATAAGTTTGCTCATCATAACTAATCACTTTGTTTATCTGCTTAACACCAAGGAGCAAACAGGATTATTTAATAGAATTAATGCATTTTTACTATATTATCAAGAGCCCCACCCTCACACCAGCACATCTGACCCAGGGGTTATGAAATTCACTACTCTTGAAGAAGCACTCTTGCTCATCATAACTATACACTTAGCTTCATTGCTTTTTTAACCAGAAGCAGAAAGGAATATTTTCAAATAAATTTTGCTTTCTCACTTTATAATCAATAGAAGCCCCCCCCCCCCCCCCTCACCAGAACCCTTAAATCTTGGGTCATAAAATTCACAATTTTGGAAGAGGCATCCTTGCTTATCATAACAATGCACTAAGTTTGTTTAAACAATACCCAGGGGCAGAGAAGAAGATTTTCAAAGAAATAATTCACCTTCACTACAGGATCTATATAGCCCAACCCTAGCACCAGAACTCCTGTCCCCGGGGCCATGAATTTCACAATTTTGGAAGAGGCATCATTGCTTATCATACCAATGTACTTAGTTTGCTTGAATAATACCCAGGGGCAGAGAAAAAGATTTTTAAAGAATTAAAACATTTTCACATTAAATCAATAGAGCCCCGCTCTAACACCAGAACCCCTGATCCAGGAGCCACGAATTTCACAATTTTGGAAGAGGCATCCTTGCCTATCAAAACTATGTATTTAATTTGTTTCAATAATACCCAGGAGCAGAGAAGAAGATTTTCAAAGAATTAAGGCATTTTCACTATATAATCAATAGAGCCCCGCCCTAACACCAGAACCCCTGACCCTGGGGCCATGAAATTCATAATTTTGAAAGAGGCACTCTTGCTCATCATAACTATGTACTTAGTTACTTTATTTAATACCCAGGAGCAGAGAAGAAAATTTTCAAAGAATTAATGTATTTTCACTATATAATCAATAGAGCCCCGCCCTTACACCAGAACCCCTGACCCTGGGGCCATGAAATTCACAATTTTGGAAGAGGCACTCTTGGTCATCATAACTATGTACTTAGTTACTGTAGTTAATACCCAGGAGCAGAGAAGAAGATTTTCAAAGAAGTAATGCATTTTCACTATATAATCAATAGAGCCCCGCCCTTACACCAGAACCCCTGACCCTGGGGCCATGAAATTCACAATTTTGAAAGAGGCACTCTTGCTCATCATAACTATGTACTTAGTTACTTTATTTAATACCCAGGAGCAGAGAAGAAGACTTTCAATGAATTAATGCATTTTCACTATATACATGTAATCAATAGAGCCCCGCCCTAACACCAGAACCCCTGACCCTGGGGCCATGAAATTCACAATTTTGGAAGAAGCACTTTTGCTTATCATAACTATGCACTTAGTTACTGTAGTTAATACCCAGGAGCAGAGAAGAAAATTTTCAAAGAAGTAATGCATTTTCACTATATAATCAATAGAGCCCCGCCCTTACACCAGAACCCCTGCCCCTGGGGCCATGAAATTCATAATTTTGAAAGAGGCACTCTTGCTCATCATAACTATGTACTTAGTTACTTTATTTAATACCCAGGAGCAGAGAAGAAGATTTTCAAAGAAATAATGCACTTTCACTATATAATCTATATAACCCCTCCCTAGCACCAGAACCCCTGACCCTGGGGCCATGAATTTCACAATTTTGGTACAGGAGTCAATGCTTATTACAATCATGTCAACAGTTTGACTGCTTGATGTCCAGGAGTAAAGAAGAAGATTTTTAAAGATTGCATTAATTTTGGTGGTTTTAGCCCCACCCCTCAGGCCCCAGGGGGGCAGGGATCATGAAATTCACAATTTTTGTTCCCCTTTACACATAGATGCTATATGCCAAATTTGGTTGAAATTGGTTGAGCGGTTTCAGAGAAGAAGCTAAAAATGTTCAAATGTTAACGCACATCGCACGACGCACGTCGCACGACGCACGCCGACGGACAAAAACGGATAGCAATAGGTCACCTGAGTGACTCAGGTGACCTAAAAAGTGAAGTATCTCGTCGTTGGGAGGGTATGTTAAGGCTTCGCCCAAAAATTCCACTAACCTAACAATAGGACGTCATAGTAAGCTGTATGACGTGAAATTTAGAGGTAACATAGTCTTAAAATCTGTATTTTAAGGAGGGATTCTTGTCTGGTTTCTGACTAAATGAAATATTCAAAGTATATTTGCTTATATGTTTTGTATATTTAGATGTAAGGGATTTAAAAGATCATATTTTTCTTTCCTCGACATAACTGTACAACTTTAAATAGAAATGGTAAACTGAGTTTGAAATCTAGCAGGGACAATTTTTTGGCGGAACGGCGGCGTATGAAAATATTTCCTTTTCTGCTTCTCAAAATTACTACAGAACAATGAATTTAGTTTTAAAAAATTTTAAACAATCAAAGACTTAAAGAAAATTTCAAATGTAAGTAAAATTAATTAAAAAGGACTGAAGTTTTAAAATATAGTAAATAAATGTGATTTTCCTAACAAACTACAATTTTGTAAACTCTTAAAAACTTCCAATGTAAGTACAGATTTGAGCAAAAAATCCGTAAAAAGTGGTTTTTTTCTTTTAGTAAACGGTCAAAACTTTTTGTTTTTGTATCAATTTGTATCTTTATATGACTACTTTATCAAATGTGAAAATAAGAAAAATTTAAACATTCGAAGCATATCGAATTAGCTAAGATAATTTAGAAATCTAACAAAAATAGAGGAAATTCGGATTAGCCAATATCTATTTGAGTTAAATTATTTATGTCAGTTTGGTAGTATCATCTAATACACCCTACACGTTTATTTCTTTTTATGCATAAAGAAAAACATTTTATCTTTTGAATAGAAGTAGGCATTGCATGATTGGCAACAGTAATTTTTTATTCTTAAAGTCAAGGAAAAAGAAAATGACCTTGACCTGACCTTGCTATCAAAATAAAAGGACCAAATTTAATCTTATTGATACTATTACTTAATGATAATGTCTTCTTGAATCTATGAAAATTTCATTAATTTTTAAATACAAGAAATATAAGAAGAATCCCTCCTTAATTTTTTTTTCAATTCCTGAAAATAGATGAAAACACGCAAAACAAGAAACAAGCTAAGCTAAATCTGGTCATTTTTGGATAATTTAATTTAACGAAGTATTTGTCAGCATTTGTTTTTGGGAGATATTAAGCATATACTTTAAATAGCATGTGTGATTCATAAGGATTTAAAGTTTAAGAGTCAGGTCAGATTTATTTTCGTCATTTTTAATCTTACAATGAAGGCAGTGTTTGAAAATCCCGATCAGCCCTTCCTATGTTATTCTTAACAACACTACGCCGCATATTTTGAAACATAATAAATCTCGATATCGGAAGCTTGTTTTCTACAGTACTTAGAAAGTGCCACTTGAATAGTGTGTTTAACATGGAATACTGATAATTCTTCGATCGAGTGTACAAAAATTAAAAATTTTGGTAAGGTTGCATTTGAAAGTGTGGAAACATAATTTCTGTGAGAGAGAATAGGTTCCTAGTGCCACTTTTAATTTTACATGATTATTGTAACAAACAAAAATGAAGTATCCTAGGAGTAGTTTAACTTTTCACTATTTCAAGAATTCCAAGGCATATTTTTCTATTTAGACATCACATGATAACATCGTAGTGGTGTGCTTCTTTTAGCCTACATGTAAGACTCATTGACTACAACAAATAATAATAGGAAATGTTTTATCCGTGTCTTTTCTAATTTATCAATTTTATATATCATAAAAAGTGTAAATTTGCCGTATAATGTCCTCGGTGCTGCCTGAACATACCTGCATGACCAGTAACTTTTCATCCTTAATGTTGAGGTAGATTGATTGATTATATGTTAATTGTTTTACGTCCTATTCGAGAACTTTTCTCTCACATAGAGACTTCACCAAATACCGGTGAAGGGCTGTACTCGGCACTCGGCATTGAGCAGTGAGGGTTCTTTATCGTGCCAACGCCTACCGTGACAAGGCGCTTGGCGAAGGAACAGTCACTAGTTATGTTTACGTCTTAAGTTTTACGCGGCGCGGCGAACGAGAATCGATCCCGGTCCTCCGATCACGAAGAGAACGCCCTACCACTAGGCAACCGTGACCGGTTCTTAATGTTTAGAAAAAATATAATGACTTTAATCTAACCTTGCTACTAAAATTAGTTGGACAATTTCATTTCAACTGACATCTCCTGTTATTCCTAGTGATATTGTCTTCTTAAATGTGTTAAAATTTAAAATATAATAAATATCAAAATACACCCTAAAGTGGTAATGATGACTAAAGGGGTTAATATTCGGGCTTACCTTTACGTTGCCTGGTCTTGATGGTGTTTATTGCTGCCTTTATATTTTCAGCACTGTACTTTTTACCTTTTACAGCAGCTGAATTCTTAATTTTATTTTCTTTAGAATTGGGATCTGTACCAAGATATAAAAATTTATTACATGGTGTACACTATGTTTGCTCACTTACTATATATATATACTTCAAATGACACAGAAAATGAAATCACAGACCTACCTATGAATGTAGTATGAAAAAAAAAGTATTTCGTTCTACAAACACACTGTCTGGCTACTCTGACGTTCAATAACTGATTTTTTGCTGATTTCTGTAGTTGTTTTTGGCAAATACGAGACTCCTTTTCATTTCGATCCATTGTTTTCCCTACTTTCCATTTAAATCATAATTAGCCATATGTTGGTACGATATTTGGAATAAATTTGATCAGGTTTGGTATTTTTTATGCTATGATATTTATATAAACAATTACCTCCTTTGACTGGGAGTCTGTGCAGTGCTACGCGATCTAGACTGTCAGGGTAGCCAAGTCACAAAAGTAAGTTTAATGCTTATATTGCTTTTATTATTTGTCCTAAACTTTGTTTGATTTTATATCTATACATACGCAATGTATATGCAAATGTATTTTTTAATTTATTCTTACGTGTAAACATTTATAACCTTGTCCTGTTTGCTTAGGTATTTAAGTTGTTGCTTTTTATGCTGGTGAAATGAATTAATTTGGTGATGTTAATTGAACTTGATATATTTTTGAGATGTGAAACAAAGTATTTAAACAAGTTATTGTTAATATGTAGCTTCTTAGCATTAACAATAACTATCATTAAATGATCAAGAATTGGTCTAGACCCCTTCTCCTGAAGTGTGAGTTCACCTCAAAATGAAGTATTCGGGTTTTCCCCCTTGAACAATCATAGAATTGCTTACATTTTTTCGACCAATCAAATTGGGCGTTTTAAAGCATGTGTCGTTGTGAATGTGAACAAGACACAGGCTAGTACCGAAGAGACTTTTCTCTTGTATTAGTAAATAGTTCAGTATTTATTGTTTTATAATATTGTTTTCCATTTTACACAGTGGTTAAACTGTTGAAATGTAATTGTAATGTGTTGTTACAGTACCTATTATTATGGGTGTTTATTTTTGTTGGAGACAAGAACTAAAATCTGAAAGTATTTTAAAATTCCTGATTATTTAATAAAGCGATTATTGACATTTGAGTTCAGTCTACTCGTGACCATAAGGAGTTGGTCTTCGGCCTCAGTCAACCAATACCTGACGAGGTCCTTATAATCACGAGCAGACCTCATCAAAAGTCAATAGTTGTATAATGTAGACCTACTTTTGTTCAACAACCACTGTACAACATGCAATACATTCAATAGTAGAGGGCATGGTTTTTAAAGCTGTAAAATATGCACAGGGCAGAGTGTTTGTTTGCGTATTTACATTGTTCAGCATGTTCAAAACTATACATGTAATTTGATACCAAATATCTAACGCCATGATATACATTACTATAAAATAAACCAGGTTAAGATAAAAGAAAAGAAAAGTGGCAAATTATGTATGCAAATGTATGTTACCATTGAGTAAGCCATGCATATTTTGTGAATTTCAGAAACGTTGCACAAACATGTCATCCAATCTCTCTCTCTCTCTCTCTCTCTCTCAAAACAATTGTTTGAAAGGATTTCCGACATATTATGACATTTAAAAAAACGTGCAGATCCTCTAGCCATTCGAATCACATGAAAGTACAATTATAGTCACTTTCCTAAAAAATCAGAAAATATGAACTTTTGCAAATAGATTCTGTATTTACCATTTTTTGAGTTGGATATGTTCTCTGAAGACTTTGATTTTCTCAAACTCTCTGTGATGGGGCCTGAGACTTTGGTTTGTTGTTGTATTACAGAATGAGGAGGCTCGGGACTTTGTGTGTTGTCTATATTATTGTCTTCCAGCTCATTGATAACTTCAAGAATCTCTTGTGTAGATACTTTTTGCTTTTCTGCAAAGGGGTATTTTGATTTTAACTATATATGTATTTAATAAACATTTTCTTTTAAATTAAAATCCAATGTACTTAAAAAACAACAACAACAAAACGTGTGCACCTTTCGAGAGACGTTGTTTCAATGTGTTGACAGCTTTCATGATTTTTTCTTTGCTATACCCTAGCTCGGTCAGAGTTAGTCCAGCACGGGATTTCATTATCTTTTCTTCCTCTGCTTTCTTGTCATCGGTAGTCTCTAAAAGTTGAACAAAGATAAAGTATAAACAAAGCTCGTTGCAAAGCGTCAAGTAAGTCTGATTTCAAAGAAAATGCTTCATTTTTAACTACTGCCGGTTTATACCAGAAGGACTTCCTTTAGATTAGTTATATCGACGAAAGATTATATGCTTTTATTCATTTTTTAGAATCTCAATTTTAAATCTCTTTCGGTGTCGACCAAAAATGATACAAAAAGCTTATTAAATAACCCATTTAGAAGTTCTATATCCTCTGAAGCTATCGTGATTTTGCGTTTAAGAAAACATAATATATCAGAGATAACAGAATTCACCTCAACGGACGTTGTTTTCAAGTAAGGCAAAGTCCCACACTAGAGTAGTTATATATAGTGTGCATCCATATATGCAACAATTTTGATATGTTAGTGCTTGGAGTTACTTTGGATTGGACTGATATAAAAACGTTAAACTAGTCATTTATCAAGAAAATTTCACTCAAATCCACCATCTGAAGGAAGTTTGAAAATGTTCATTCAAAGAATAAATGCAGCTTAATGATAGGAATATCATTAAGCGTTGCAATTGCAACGCTTATTGCCATAAATTATTGCATTAAAAGTTGACATTCTCAACCGCTATTGCTAAATCGCCACTTAGTGATAGAATTACATCATAAAGGTACTTGTTTACTCGCTATATTTTAACAACAACGGGTCGCCGTAGTTATAAATGTCGTAAATTTAACAAGTTGTGTGAATGAATAGTTTTATATGTTAAAACTATATGTAAAGGTTACATATAACATATACTACTAATATTTGTGTCTTTGTTTTTTTTTTCTAATATTTATGATATATCGGAAATATACTGTTTACGACAAATGCCGTTTATAAGCGCGGTTAAATGTAAACAGTCGACTGTCATGTCACCGATGCACCCACTGAAAGAAACAAGGTTTTTTCAAAGAAAATCTTTCAGTACAGAAAAATTCTCACTCTCACAAATCGCTGGGCAGTTAGTAGGATTGGTTTAGATCATCATCCCAAGAAATCCCTTCCGTTTTTTTTCTTTGAGCTGAACTCAGTACAAGTGCTACTAACGCTAATCACCGATGATTCTAGACAATTGATAGCAGAATCTTAGAGAGGTGGATCTAAGAAAAAAATTACTTTTACAAATATTTTCTTCGGATGTCATTGATAATCATAGCATTCATTTCCTTTAATATGATCAAATATTTTGCTAACGTGTTCTTCTACTTTTTGTTGCATGTGAAATTTATTTTAATTTTGATTTAGAATAAATTAAATTAATCTTGGAATTAAGAGATTTTTTGAATGATAACCTTAAAATAGTTCTGAATCTAGGGAGAATCCATAGTGTGCTAGTCCCTCTCCGACACCGCGAGTTACCCTTTAGATATCACAGCGGTGATTGTCCAATCAAAATGAACTCAGTCAATTGTAGTTCAATACATTTAAAATCTTTTTTTTCTTTTGAGAATTTTTTTTATTTTCTTCCAGCCCATTTTTACAACTTTAGTACCTGTGCCTAGTAAATTTTATGTACTTTGTAAATAAAAAAGGGTTTTGACAGAAACTATTTTTCTTAGGGCATAGGAGGCTACTTCCTGAGGTGCACTCGAGATGTTTATATACAAATTGAAAACACGTGGATGATCAGCCTATTCCACCCGTATCATCCCAAGACCTATATTTATGGGGAAAAAAACCTGTGTTTTTAATTGGCACTACTTGCGTGCTCAATGAAATGGGGTAAAATTAGTAACCTATGACATACTTATACTTTCTAACATCAAATTAAGGGTTACAAATTCCAACATTAATTTCCTTTTTTTATTTTACTTTCTTTATTGTTTAGTCCTTTACTTTCTATAATTATATGTTTCATTTTAAATTCATTATTATTATCGAGCACGTAGGATATTGAAATCATGCCCCCAACTCCAACCCAACCCCCCAACCCCCCCCCCCCCCGAAAAAAAATTGAAAGGTCTCATATTCATCGCTTTGAAGCTTTAATTTTAAATCTGAAGAAGTTCTGGATCCTTCCCAGTACTACAAACATCATTTGTCTCGCATCACTCTAATGGGTAATATAAAGATTAGCGTTAATTGCACTTTGATTGAATTCAGTCTCAAGCTAAACCGGAGAAAATCCACAGAATTTCTTCCCATGAATTATGTTGTTAATCGATCAACCGAGGATGAAACTGGACATGATGACAACATACGTGTAATTGTTCCAGAACCGGCAGGTAGGGACGTTCCCGTCTCCATAAGTGACTCGGAAAATTCGAGATAATGCTTTAGAACATAAATTATTAGAAACTTTTTTCTATAAGTGTTTATTCATAAATCTAACGGCAAAAATATCATATCCTACATAAAGAGTTCGAGGAATATAAATAACCGAATCCATCAGCTGTTAATCAAGTAACCTGCACAACTGCTGAATCGTATTCACTTTTAATGCATAAATAAAGTATAGTTTAAAATGAGTTGAATTTGTAATAATTGCTTTGACTGCCATATATTTTTATTTCTTTTTATAGGATTATAAGAATGATTCAATATTTAATTTCATGATTGATCAGTGCATAATTGTTATTGATCATTTAACTCATTGCAAAGAACACTTTTTCTGAAGATATGACACCGCGTGGAGAGAAGGGTGGTTGAGTTAGCATGGTCTCTCAGGTTGTGAAGTTTGTGGCATTCTTCTCCATCTTTCTCATAGCATGGGAATATTAAATTGTGGATTGGGTTCTTTTCTAGAAGTCCAGTTCAAAACACAACATGTCAGCATGTAAATAAAATAGAAACTGGAAAACGCCGTGTAAAAGATATGGGATGCAAATACCAAGCTTGCCACAGGTACATACATGTATTTTGTATTGATTATTCAATAACAGTGCATGTATATTATGAAAGGACCAGATTAATTTCCTGTCATGAATGTATTTTAATTTTCATAAATACATCTGAATTATATATATTAGGAATGGTGCATACAAGCATGGGGCCTTCTCAGGTGAATGCACTTTTAACATCATTGAATATCCCCCCAATCAGTTCTAGGACACTGCAAAACAGACAAAATGAAACAGGAACAGTTATGGAGAAAATTGCAGTAGAAAGTACCAGAAGCAGCCTTCATGATGAAATTCAGGCAACTGTAGAGTATGTACATGCAGAAAAACACATCCATTGTAATAGGAAACTTTGGGTTTTGAATATTTAGGATACTAAAATATATGTGCTTTAAACGAAGTTCCAATGTGTCTTTTAGAATGTAAATGGATAGATGATTTCATTTAAAATTTTAATATCTCTACTCTCAAATATATGTATCCTTAACCTATTACATATGTATACATGTAAGCAGTAAATCATATCATTTTCAATTAAAGATTTTAGGATAGTCCCCAGTCTTCCTTAATATACACTACACAGTAGCCTATTATCATATAAAATGTACATTTTAAGAGATTTAACACAGTTAGGTAGGGAAAAACCAATTGCTTCATGTTTCTGATGGCTTTTCTGTGATTTTTAATGTGTGAAGGTACAGATAAGCTAAAAGTCAGTGTTGATGCTAGTTGGCAGAAACGAGGCAGTGGGCAATCCTTTGACAGCCTCTCTGGTATGTTGTTCATATTTTTTAGAGGAGTAAAATGCTTAACAAAGTTAAACTTCAATTGCTATTTAGATCATTTTGAATTATAATTTTTATACCTATTTTATACAATATTTATATATTTTATAACAAATATATTATATAACAAACATATTATTTATATATTTTATAAGAAATTCATTCCTTGCATGACTTTTTATTGGAAACAATATTTTTAGGTCATTGCTCAATGATTGGATCTCAGACAGGCAAAATCATTGATTATGAAATACGCAAGATTTGTGAGACTGCTGCAAGAAATGGAAAAGACCCCAAGGATCATGACTGCCGAAAAAACTGGGAAGGTATTTTATTTTATTCTCTAAGAGAGAGAGAGAGGAGAGGGAACTGACCCACTTTTCCTTTTCTCTCTATTATTCTCACTCTCAATAATAAGAAATCAGCATGCAAATGCTTAAAACTACTTAAAAAACTGCTAGAAAACACTTGTAAAACCAGATAGGGTCATTTACAAAAGCTCGCCAGTGATTTCAGAAAAGCACGCCTTTGCGCTAACAAACAACAACACATCAAGCTAACACAACTTCTCACAACATGCAATCACACTAACACAACATGTCGTCGCGCTAGTACAAAACACGCCATCGCTCTAATACAATCTGGAATCCTATGGAAAATCTTGATGAATTATGCAAGACATTTAACCTTTTCTACCAGCTTTTATACATTTGTTTAATGCCACAAGCAGTTTGATTTTGAATTTTTGAAACACTACAAATATTTTTTGCATTGAATTTTGTTATTAAAAATACATTAAAATGCATTTTATGAATGAATTCAGTTGTTACCTTTGTTATGCAATATAACATAACAGTACTTTGGGCAGGTTATAAAGCATGAAGCTGTTTATAAAAATGTGTAAACTGTCACAAGTTATATTTTACTTGTATAACATAGGTAGCTTTATTTATCAAATTACTTTTATTTGATAATCCCATGCTTGACTTTATTTGAGGAAATACTGAAAAATAACCCATTTAAAATGATCCCAGTTGTAGAGTTTATGTTGTTTAATATATAAACAGTTCTAGTAGCATATAAAATATTTTACTTACAAAGAGAATTTTATCTCAATTAAGCTTTACTGGTCTTCTTTTATATAGGAAGCTCTAATGATATGGGGGCTAAAATGGTTTCCAGAAAAGTGGAAGAAGGGGTGAACATATAACAAATGAGGTTGCGGATGAGGACACCGCTACCTTTTGCCATTTGAGAAACGTCCACAAAAACATTACAAAGATTAGTGATAAAAACCATATAAGGAAATTTTCTCTTCAAATTTGTATGGTTTACAATT